CTTACTGAATCTGCCACAACGCCATAGATCATTTATGAATTTTGGGGCATTTCTTTTATAACGAGGAGTAAGAGGAAAGCTTCCATTTCATGACAAAATATTACGATAACTTTGGTGGCAGTGTATCGACAACTACGATAACATTGGTGGCAGGATATCAACAGCTACGATAACTTTGGTGGCAGTATATCAACAACTACGATAACATTGGTGGCAGTATGTCAACGGTCATGATAACTTTGTTGGCAGTATATCAACAACTACGATAACTTTAGTGGCAGAATAGCAACAGCTGAGATGACATTGGTGGCAGTATATCAACAGCTGAGATGACTTTGGTGGCAGGATATCAACAGCTACGATGACTTTGGTGGCAGGATATCAACAGCTGAGATGACTTTGGTGGCAGGATATTAACAGCTGAGATGACTTTGGTGGCAGGATATCAACAGCTACGATGACTTTGGTGGCAGGATATCAACAGCTGAGATGACTTTGGTGGCAGGATATCAACAGCTGAGATGACTTTGGTGGCAGGTATCAACAGCTGAGATGACTTTCGTGGCAGGATATCAACGTTGCCGTCAATATTTAATGTTCATCCATAATCCAAGCAGTACATTTATCAGGAAAGACTACAAGACACATTTCGGTTTAGAATAGAAAGAAATAGTTGATTCAGTGACGTAGGCAATAACTGACCAGCTGTTGATGTCTCAACCTCACCACTCCCTAGATACGGGATACGATGTTGACATATCGGGTATTCATTAATCAATATGTTATTCATTTATAGATTGATTGAATGATTGATGTCGTATCTAAGATATTTTATTCAAAGTATAACAACGTGCAGATGGAGATATTTCTACTTTTAATCCAAGAAAAACAAGGTCTTACAGTAAGAACGAGACTTTAGTTAAATGTGTGGTCTTGATTGAAATTTTGAATGTGGTCTTGTATAACCTATGCTGTCCATCTTAGACATTTGCTGTGATTGTTCTTTTTAGCGTTCTACAGACATGACCCATGCGTCTCGTCGTTTCTGTGATGGTGGTCACCCTTGATGGCTTATTCAAACATACAATTTTACATTGGAACTGTATTCCCTTTCATGCCCCTCTCTTTCATTCGTATCACTAAAATAATAATTGTCATCCGATCATAGGAAAATGTTATTAATTAAGTTAACATCTTTAAGGCGGGCAGCAACTGTTGCGAATGCTACCACTAGTGTTTGCTTGGCATATGCGGGTAGGAACTGTTACAAATGCTACCAATAGTGTATGATTGACATATGCAAATAGCAACTGTTACGAATGTTACCAATAGTGTATGATTGACATATGCGAATAGCAACTGTTACGAATGCTACCACTAGTGTTTGCTTGACTTATGCGGATAGCAACTGTTGCGAATGCTACCACTAGTGTATGATTGACATATGCGGGTAGAAACTGTTACGAATGCTACCACTAGTGTTTGCTTGGCATATGCGGGTAGCAACTGTTACGAGTGCTACCACTAGTGTTTGCTTGGCATATGCGGGTAGCAACTGTTACGAATGCTACCACTAGTGTTTGCTTGGAATATGCGGGTAGCAACTGTTACGAATGCTACCACTAGTGTTTATTTGATTTATGCGTGTAGCAGCTGTGGCGAATGCTAGCACTAATGTTTGCTCGACTTTGACTTCAGAGAAAAAATGAAAATGCTGTTTGTTCGTACCAGTAAGAAATAATGTGAACTGGATCTGTAGCCTCTGATCCCCATGATTTTCTCTACGTTTCCTTTGGGCCACATGATATGTTGATCTACTCCCTGGCCATGATATACATGTACACTAAAAGAAGGAGATTGATCAAATGTAGATATCATGTTGATGCTAACATTGCACATGATATGTTGATCTACTCCCTGGCCATGATATACATGTACACTAAAAGAAGGAGATTGGTCAAATGTAGATATCCTGTTGATGCTAACATTGCACGTGGTAAGTTGATCTACTCCCTGGCTATGATATACATGTACACTGAAAGAAGGAGATTGATCAAATGTAGATATCATGTTGATGCTAACATTGCAAGTGGTAGGTTGATCTACTCCCTGGCCATGTGATACATGTACACTGAAAGAAGGAGATTGGTCAAATGTAGATATCATGTTGATGCTAACATTGCAAGTGGTAAGTCTGCGCAGATAAAATGTTGATGGCGGTGTTCAAAAGTTTTTATTTTTAATTGAACAAAAATGTGCAATAAATAGTGTTATAATGTGTGCAGCCCGTACAGCCAGTACATATGTGTACTTTAATGATGATGTACTTTTTAAAGTCATTTTTTATACATGTATCGGTTGAGTGTTAATGTGTATCTTTCAGTGTTTTGTTAAAATGTGATATCTGTCTTTTTTTTAAAACTTCAATAATTCTATTATTTAATTGTGTAATTTAACCCTTCCTTCGCCATTTTAATCATTCTATTTTTGTAGACCTTCTCCTTCCCTTCTTCTTTCTTAAATCCATTGAATTAATTTAACATTATGGAAACGTTTGTTTAGCAGTTTTTTTCTATAGACGAAGCTGATAAAATACATTGAAATGAAATGTTCACTGTTCATGAATTCTTTTTAAAGCTCAGTCAAAATAACGTGTATTATTTTAAACAAAAAAATGTTCAAATCAAATTTATTATTGAAGTTTTCATTTTTACATTAGTGTTTGTGTTACCACCTGGTTGTACTGCAGCACGGAGAGCTCCCTTTACAGCCATTTCGATCTCTACCCTCTCGGGTTCTGCCTTTGAGTGTCTCTATAGATTACAATTTGTTTGTGTACTTCCGAAGTATCCATTTTACCATATTAAAGAAATAATAATTAATATTAAATTTCAGATGAAAATTACTTTAAATCTACTGCATATTTTTTTTCCGAATTATTGTAAGCTAGAAATTATTTATTTTTCATTGAGAGCTCCCCTTTTTAAAGCTTAGAGTTATTTTAATTCATCTTTTTCTCTGTAAAAAAAAAGGACCTACACCAAAAGGCTATTGACTATTTTAATCAAACTTTAGTCCATGTTTTACCTGGGATGGAAAGACATTTATGGATTGAGTTATTTTTAAACTCTGTCAATGTTTCAGTTTCATTATTTAGATACCAGTTGCGCCAATTTTTACTTACCTCCCTTTGTCCCTCTTGTTACCAGGTGTATAAATTGATTAATTTTATATTGTTGACACGATGATGAAGAAATAAATCAATGATTATTTAATGATCAGACTTTTTAAATATTATTTATGGTTAAATGCTTTGATTGTATTGTTCGATTAATATATCAGATTTCTAAGTAGAAAATCTTAAAGACATCACGGACCACCATGAGGCCTTCTCGTGTGTTATCATTTGAACAAAACCATATGCCTAATGTACAACAAGAACTACTATAGAACAATGATTAGAATAATGGTAGAGCATGTTGGCTGTGTTATTCTGACGTACGAGCCAATGTCACTCCTGACAAAAGAACTTGGGAAGCCCAGCAATTTATCATCTACACATAACTGCACTTGAGTTAACGCCTCTCTGTTAAATTGAAGTTATGTCCCCTTCTTGTATCTGGAAACGTATTTACTCGGTTAAAGAATGATGATACATTGAGCTATGCGACGAATTCTGAACTGTGTAACTCTCCTATTGACCATGATTAAAGATGTCTCAATATCATATCCATTCGACAACAAAAAAAAATCCTCCTGCAGCATACAACAAAAAAAAAACGACTATAGGAAGACTACACATGTTAATCTTTGCATGCTGAAAATATGTGTTTATTGTCATGACATAAATTATTTATTTTATGTGTGACGGAAAGTGTAGCTTTAAAAAACAACAATTTATCTACAGCTTATTTTAAAAACAACAACAATTTTTCTACAGGTTAATTTCAAAAAACAACAAATTTAAAGATATAATTAATGTTTAAGTATTATTTAATAATTGTTAAGTTACATACTAATCTGAAAGAATTATCGCAACCATATAATATTTTCTTAATGTTAATGTTACATAAACTTATTGTAATGAAAGTGTTCATTTATAAAAAAAAAAAGAACACCAATAACAAAGAAACAAAGTAAAAAAACAGATGGAATCTGGTGTTTAATTGACAGTTTCTTTCTGTTGAAACAGATTAAAGCTAGTGTCATAGAATGAATCCATCCAATGTTGTCTTAGGTTTCAGATCATTGATACATTGTTTGAACAAATACAAACCAAACGTTTTAAGACCAGAACAAAAGATAGTGTCAGAATAAACATATTTATATCTTACTTTTCAGTCATAGTATACAGTCAGTGATTTGTATCAGTTAGTTTGTTAAACAAATTACATCAGCAAAAGCAAACCACATCATTAACACGACTGTTTCAGCAAACCACATCATTAACACGACTGTTTCAGCAAACCACATCATTAACACGACTGTTTAGCAAACCACATCATTAACACGACTGTTTCAGCAAACACATCATTAACACGACTGTTTCAGCAAACATATCATTAACATGACTGTTTCAGCAAACACATCATTAACACAACTGTTTCAGCAAACATATCCTGCTGTTTCGGATTCCCAAGTCATTGCTCCTCTATCATAGGACACAATTGTTTTTAAATTATTCAGTCAGTGAAGGCCAATGGCCCTTTCATATTTAATTCATACAATCACATTACCAATCTAATGTAGCTCACAGACCAACTTACACCATATAAAGTACAAATAAAATCAATTTTTAACCTCGAGAGCATAATGAAAAGTAAGTATGAATTACTTGACTGAACCAAAAATGTTTGTTTAACTAAGCCGTTTCACGAACAAAGTCTTCAAATATTTTCCTAAAAGCTTTCTGCTCCTGTTCAATATTTTGTAGATTGCTTTCAATTCTCACAAGTTTGTGTTCAAGAACGGCAATCGTTTTTCCTTGTTCTTTTCTTTCCTCCAGAATCTCATGAGCCACTTTTTTGATGTGACTCAGCAGCACTTCCGGCCCTTCATAGTTGTTACAAATAACCTCCAATTTTACCAGCAGTTTTTGAAAGTCCTCCACGTAAACAGACGGTAGAAGTGGTTCAGTGATCACAGTCCACCTCAAGGTCATCGATCCATCGTCTGCTAAAAACTTTGGAATGTCAATGGCATTAAAATCTTTGGCAATCCAATCGTTGGGAAATGACACGAATCCTTGATTTGGTTTGTTGAATATCGAAGTGGCTTGTCCAAGACAGCAACAACTTGCAGTGTTGTCTTCATCATCTTCGTCAATTATATCTACTTTCCATGTCAACTTCACAGGCCACATGAAAGTACACGGTAGCGGTTTCTTTAGCTTTTCAGCAACTTCCAGGTATATGTATAACATTTTGTCGCTATAGAATTTAAGTCTTCCAGTGCAGTTATAGGATTTGCTTAGTACAGATTTCGGTGTGGTAGTTTCGTGATATCTGTCAAATTTGGTCTTACATTTCTCTATTTTCTGACGGTATGTCTTGGGTTTTGTTGAAGCTGGGTTCATTTTATTGTCCTTAAGAAACTCTAACAACATCCTTAAATGATTCTTGAACTCTGGGATAGAGTCTCTCATGTTTCCATTTGGTGTTTTGAGTAGTTCCGTTTCAGAGGAATGAGAATCCATGGTGAATCTTTCAGATTGGCAAACGTGCAATTGATCAGCACAGTAACTCTGTGGACAAACTGGAAAATATATAAAAATACAAGATTAAATGGTTTTCGTTACAATTTAAAGGGCAAAGTTTGTACTTAAAAATGTAATTATAGCAAATACTCGAGACCATTGAATACAATTAATTAACATTTGGTATTTCCTTGCCTCGGAAACCAAGCACCGATACGGTAAAGATTGGTAAAATATACATTCACACTGAAGGTATACTTTAAAAAAAATCTATATGGTTTAATTTACAAATAGGAAATGTCTAAGCGGTACAAAACCACATTGAATGTAAACGCTTTGATGGAGTTCGCATCTTTTATAATCATTTATTTTCGCAGAAAGTATACACCTCAAAATATCTGAAATAATTGTTTAAACGATTACAGTTTAATACAACCATTTTATTGTTACAATGAAAATATCTGTTCAACATTTAAAAATTATAAAATACATTTCTGGGCGTCGTAAACGAAGGGGGATCACTCTATTCAAATCTTGTATAGTTCAGGGGTGTGCCTAAGGTTAATAGTTGCGTACTTGAGGGGCAACATGGGCGTTTCTTTATTAATGTTTATTACTAATTTGACATGAAAGCTGTGTGTGTGTTAGAGGGAAAAAGGGGGGGGGTAATTTTGAGATCAGACTTTTGGTCCGGATAAGCTAGAGAAAGAATGGGTCAATTAATTTCAAAAGGATATGAATATCTTAAGCCCAGCGATGTTACAGACATGAATTGGTTCATTTTCTTTGAATGTAAGACTAAAAAAGCTGTTTCAATTTTCCCGAAATACAGTTCAGCGGTGTGAAAAAACGTGAGAAATGGCATGAGGTCAATCTTTAAAGCACTGTCAGTCACAGAAGTGAACATTGATATATATAGTAGCTTTACAAAATATATACTTTGTACAATTTGTTTGAAAAATCATTTCAGGTGCGGTTAAAATAGTTGTTAAATTTTAATGAAGATTGCAAAATATGAAAATCCAAAGATGATACAGACGGGAAATGTGGTCCCTAGAATATTTTAAAAAAATATAATAGCATTGTGGTTGCGATTCGAAAAACATATATGTATTAGACGAGGTAAAAGAGATGTATACATTTTTAAATCATAATATATATAAAAAAAACGATAATATTATTTGATATTCAATGCAGAGTGAATGGCAAAGAAAGGGAAAAGGCCCCACTGACCATGACACCAATGGATACGTCTTGAGTTGTCTACTGTGCTCTTTTCTTTGTTATATTTTCATTTCTACTGTTGGCTGAGGAAGGCTTTATGCCGAAACGTCCTAGTTTTTTGTCCTGTTATCTTATTTCAAGCTTCCACATACCTTGTTGAGCTATTTCATTCATTGACCATGATACAAAGGGAAACCATAAATATGAGACAAATATACAATGAAGCCAGAAGGAAAGCCACTAAAATGTGTAGGACGAGAAATGGGAATGGAAACATCTTAACTAAAAGAAATATAAGAATTGTTAAGAGAGGGAAATAGTACATGAAGATAATAGACGAAAAGAATATATAGCAGGCTAGAGCTCCAACGTGTGAGAACCAGGATGGATAATTAGTTACTGAAAATATTAACGTACTGGAGTGGGCTGAATATTTTATGAGGATACTAAATGCAGACAATGACCAAGATGAGCATCATCAGCCAACACAAGGAGGACCAGACCCTTTAATAAACTCCCAAAATTTGGAAGAATCAACAGAAGTAATTCAGTATATGAAAACCCACAAACCCCCTGGAAAACATCTCATCACAGGAGAACTTATTAAATATGGAAGAATAGGGCTAAAGTCTGACACACATAAACTGTTAACTACATTTTGGCAAGAAGAGAAAATTCCAACAGAATGGGAAACAGCATTACTAACCCCAAAACACAAGAACAACTCAATTAGCAAAAATCAAGTTTCGGGGTTACCATTCTAGATAATTTCAGATTTGACGAGTTCTAACACAGGGAGACTCATTGTCTTGCGTGCTATATAACCTAACATTAGAGAGAGTTATAAGAAGAATTCATAATGACATCCGGGGAACAATAACAGGATTCTTTCTGTGGGAAACACAATACCCTCAACCAATAGACAGTCTACAATGAACCCTTTTAGTAACAACTTGCTACGCGGCCCTGAGAAAGCCGCTCCTAGTACCGTTTTGTCCCAGCTTTCGTCCCGACCGGACCACTCCCTGGTCGGTGGGGGAGTTAACGCAACATTTATCTCACGGAGAGAAAGCAAAGGCGTTCAGACCAAAGGAGAGTGGACCGCGAACGCTTTAAACGCAGCGTTTTCAGGCGACCGGACGTCCCCCATGCCAGGGGGGGGGGTTCGACGTGCTTCCGTACGGTCTGGCGGCGGGGAGACACGGTGTCAGCTCGTGGGTGGGGGGATTACAAGCTCGCGCTCGACGACCCACCGACGCCATGTCCAAAGTGCAGCGTTTTCAGGCGACCGGACGTCCCCCATGCCAGGGGGGGGGGGTTCGACGTGCTTCCGTACGGTCTGGCGGCGGGGGGACACGGTGTCAGCTCGTGGGTGGGGGGATTACAAGCTCGCGCTCGACGACCCACCGACGCCATGTCCAAAGTGACGTTATTAGTAACAGCTTGCATATGCTGATAACATAGCACTGTTAAGGAAAAGTAGTAAAGATATAGCAAAAGCTTTTATCGAATAAGAAGACAGAAAGCAGGGCTGGAAGTTAACATCCAAAAGATAAAATACATGACTATGTTAAGATAAATGATAGTGATAGAGTAGAAATACGATATTTTGAGAATTAGGGTAAAGTAATGTGAGTAACAATAATAACATAGCTGCTTGAACGGATTTGCAACATCTGTAACATCTATTTTGCATCACAAATCATGTTGAAATAGCATGTTTAACGGCACCGACAATGGATAAGAAATTATCACCTGCTCCTCAACAAAAAGCATTCGACTAATGCAAGTAGCTGTCAGGAGACAGAGAGAGCTTATGGCAATTATTATTCACACTGACAATGCTTCAATTTTAAGCGCTGAATAGTTAGATGGGGATGATCTTGACTTGCCTGGTGTATTCAGTTCCGCAAGATGAACATGATAAATCAGGTACTTGCCCATTGTTACCATAGAACAACACCTGACCACTCAATGGGAAGATGATAGCAGATAGAAACTATGCTCCAATTGTCAGCTATACTATACAATAATCATATTTCTACTTCCACAAATAATGATAATTAGTCTTTAACAAACTTTTCATTGATTCTGCATTATAAAATTTAAGGTGAACTAAAGATGAAATACAATGTTTTCCTATAATTGCGTGTTATTAAAATACATACGCACAAAGTAATATGTAAATAATTTATAAATTTATGTATAATGTAATTCATTTAATTATTTATTTTTTTGGGTGGGGGGGTATACAATGTTGCCATCCTTACTAAGGAGGGCGTAACGGAGAGTTTGAAAGCTTAACAGACAGATGAAACCATTAAAAGCAGAAATCACACTTTTAACAAAGTGTGATCGATTCAAATATCTCAAAGTATGACAAACGTACGAAAGTTAAAAAAAGTATATCGACCGGAAACAGGGCAAACTTCAGTAGTCAAACACAAAAATCAAAAGTAAAAGAATTACAAGAAATACAAAGAAAACTATATATAAAACTCTAATCAGACCAGTTGTAACATACGCAAGTGAAACTTGGACCCTAACAAAACGGCAGATAACCTATTAAATGGTTCTTCCGAAAATATGCGGACAATAAAAGATGAATATGGATGGAGAATACGAACCAACCACGGATTTTATTGCCCAGGACTGTGCAGCTCAAAATGTAAGGAGGGCCGAATATTTTATAAAAAAACTTATGAGGGCCGAAAAATAGGACCGGGGGGGGGGCAGGGAAAGCTATTAAGAAAATGATAATAAAAAGAATTTTTATTTACTTCGCGGCCGCAAAGTGTGTGCTGGCGAGCCGTGGGTGCTGGCGGGCAGCATGTAGCCCACGGGCAGTATTTTGTGCAAGCCTTGTATTGTCTATATCAGGATCCCACATTCGTAGCAGAAATAAAAAGGGTAGGCTACGCTGGGCTAGACATTTAGAACGAATATCTAATGACACAGGAGTGAAGATGGGTGCACCACCAAAATACCAAGACAGAAACGGCTCAAAGGCAGACCTAGGATAAGACGGATGGATGATGTGGAGATGGATCTAAAGCTGGGAATCCAAGCAAGGAAAAGAAAAGCATTAGTTAGGTCTGAGTGGAAGGATGTGATGAGGCAGCCCAAAAGCCCTGCATGGGCTATAGCGCCACTGGGACGAATGGACGTAGATATTCAATTATGAAAATATTCATGTAAAATATTTAAAAAATGTAAATGAATCAGTTTAAAATTGAAAATGTACAATGATAACTTGGTGTGAAAATTTATTGTAAGAACTTTTTAATTTACAGCCAGATCGAGGTTGTGAAGTGTAAGAAATGCCCTCTAAATATTGTATGTTAAAATATGTGAGCTGCTGGTTACAGGGTGATGACCAGATCAAATAATGGAAAGTCTCTTTTGATTCTAAACGTTTTTTATGGACTTATTTTAAATTTAAGACGTGACACGGCCGTACTAAAGAAGGGGATTTTCGAAGTACTTAGTCTAGGATAACTTGGGTTGGCTTAAACACAATTTGAGGATTTTATATTAACATTCCACAGTAAATAATAGCTCGTATCTGAACCAAGGTATAAATATATGTGCACAGTAGTGAGATGAGCTGACAATACGTGCATCAACATTGAAAGCTTTCCTAGGGAATATGCAGTGGTGTAGGAAGGGGAGGCAAGCGTGGGGGGGGGGGCGCCGATTTGGCATTTTTTACCTTTATATCAAGGGCGGCCTTTACGGACACATTTTAATTCAATTTTTTCATCTAGGGGGCGGCA